CGATGGACGAACGCATCTTGGAATATGCAGAAGCCCATAATCTCGCCATCGTGAACACAAAGTTCCGTAAACGTGACTCCCACCTGATAACCTTCTACAGCGGAAGCGCCAGAACACAAATAGACTTTGTTCTTGTCAGGCATCGCGATCAAGGACTTGTCACAGACGCGAAGACCGTGCCGTATGAGACAGTAGCCTCGCAACATCGCCCGCTTATCTGTACGCTAAAGATAACACCGCCCAGGTCGAAAGCGATGTGGTCCCGAGAGAATCAAATGGTGGCATTTGAAAAAAAGGAGGCAGCTGTGATCTCTCGCATTCGATTACCAACCGTCACAACTGTCGACGAAACGTGGAAGAATGCTGCCAAAGCGATGCCCAAGCCGCGCTCTGAACTTGGCACAACGAAACCTGGAAGGCGTAGAATTGAAAAGCAGGCATGGTGGACAGATGACGTCAGGGTAAAGGTTCACGAGAAGAAGAAGCGCTACCACTTGTTCCTCGAAGACAAGTCAGCTGGCAACTGGCAAAAATACCAGGAAGCTAAAAAAACGGGACTTTGGCGGCCGCAAAAGCCTCCCACTTCGATGAAATCAGCAAGAAGCTGGAAACACGAGATGGCGAGCGGCACATTTACCGACTTGCTAAAGCTCGTCACCGCCAGCCGAAGATGTGGAGAAGCATGTATGACGAGAAGGGCCGTCTTCTAATGCATGGAACAAAGGTGCTGAGGATGGCGCGATTACTTTGAGGAGCTTCCCACAGTGGAATATGAACACCCGGCCATCCCCTGCGCCTTACCAACATACGGTCCCGTTCAGAAGATAAGCGTGAGGAAACGGAGGCGGCTCTCAAGAAGATGAAGCCAGGCAAGGCAACGGGCCCTGACGACGTGGCGGTCGAAGTATGGAAGTCACACTGCTGGCATGCTGCCGAATGGTTGACAATGTTTTTCAATCAGGTCGTTGCAGAGAAGAAAATGCCCGAAGTATGGCAAGAGAGCACGACGGTACCGATCTGGAAGAAAAAAGGCAGTCCTGCAGACTGCTCAAATTATCGTCCAATTCGCTTGCTCTCGCACAGCATGAAAATTTTTGAGCGAATTGTTGATAAGCGTCTTCGTGATATCGTCCAGCTCTCTACCAACCAGTGTGGCTTCGTGACTGGCTGTAGCACCATCGACGCCATACATGCCGCTCGCCTCTTGCTGGAGAGCATGAGAAGAAGAAGCATGTCCATCCCTTCCTTGATCTGGAGAAGGCATTCAACCGTGGCTGATTGAGCGGTTTCGCATCCTGTGCGCAATTCAGCCCAACGAGTCGAGTGCGAAGTCCAGCAGGCATTTCGATGGGGTTCCCCATCACAGTTGGGGTGCACCAAGGCTCAGCGCTTTCCCCGCTGCTCTTTGTCGTCATGAACGCCATTTCACGGGACCTCCAGAAGCCGGCTCCTTGGACGCTTCTCTACGCTGACGATGTGATGCTGAGGATAAGAATGGTCTCGAGGAACAAGTGCAAGCTTGGACTGAACGGTTAGCAAACTTCGGGCTCAGATTGAACGTCAAGAAAACCGAGTACCTGACGACTGACCCGGACGAGTCTGGTTCCCTTAGGGTCAGCGGCAGTGTGCTCACGCGAACGACAACGTTCAAATACCTCGGATCAACAATTACGTCTGACGGTAGTCTCGACTCAGAAGTGAGCGCGCGTGTGAGTGCAGCCTGGTCTAAGTGGCGCTCTATGACTGGCGTTCTCTGCCTCAAATCGAAGACCTACAGGACCGTCGTTCGACCAGTCGCGATATACGGTGCTGAATGTTGGCCTACGACCAGAGAAGTTGAAGCGCGCCTCGGAGTCATGGAGATGAAAATGTTGCGATGGACCGCCGGTGTCACGCGTATGGATCGCATACGCAATGACGACATAAGGAAGAGATTCGGTATTGCTCCTGTGGCCGAGAAAATGCGCGAAGCTCGCCTTCGATGGTATGGTCATGTTCTTCGCGCGGGTGTGACACCGTCCGTAGGATTGGTCTTGAGCTCGAAGTTCCGGAAAGCGGCCTAAAGGACGCCCCAAGCAGCGCTGGTCAGACACGTTGCATGCGGACTTAAAGATAGTTGGCACCCATCCCGATCAAGCATTCAATCGGGAGAAGTGAGAAAATAAGACGAGCGGACCTCGCTACAGAGCGGGACAAACGCTGAAAAAGAAGGAGAAGAACAAGAAGAAGATTGCTCATAGCCATGTTACATCATTTCTTCATTTTTACAGCGATCACCAGCGAAATCAAAGGAGACGTTTCAAAAGGATTTATTAGTCAAAAGCGGATTGGTCAGATCCGCCTGCAATGACAAAATATGGTCTTGTGCTATTTACAGAGTATCGTCGTGTGTGATGGTTCTGAGTTCATCGGTTAGCAAAGACCGCATGACCTGCCACAGTAAGACCTCTTCTGGGCAGTTGTGTAGAATGCGTTGGCACAGAATCCGTTCGCCACCCATGTGGCACAACTGTAAGCAAATACTCATGTGCTATTCGATTGATTCGAAACTCCAGAAAACCCTACCTCGAACTTGAGTCAGAGCACGTGCTGGATGCACTGGCAGCTACAAAAAAGGGTTTCAATAGAATGATAGAGTGCTCTAAGAGAATGGTACCAAAAATAACCTGTAGTGACTGCAACTACAGCTGCAGCTGTCGTGACCGCTGCGGGACAATATCCACAGGTCCTCATGCAGTTCGTCTGGAAGAATAATACCGTAGACAATTTCCGCGATCACATGTTCACTTTCAAATTGTAGATGATTGTAAGATAAAAGGAATCGAAGTTTCACCTTGACGAAAGATTGCATGTCGACTTGTCTGCAGATAGCAGGGTCATTTTTACATTCGATGGCTGCATCGACGCATCCACCTAATTCCGAATATTTCGAATTCAAAAAATTTTTTAAAATAACTCGGATTTACTGCACCTTCGAGACAAAATCCGCAGACATTTGGGCAGTCTTGGGCAAGGATCGGTCTCCACGTGGGATCTCTGCACTGAGCAGGTGTTACGGTCGAACACTTCACTCGTGGGTCTAAATTACTCAACTAGACTATAAAACTGGTTGAAGCATCTGATTTAATTCATCAACTCACAATCAGCGTTTTTACACTGGTACTCGGGGGTCATGCAACAGTAACCGCAATGTTTCGGGCACATGGCAATGGCTAACGCCTTCACATCTTCGTCCTGAATAGAAACCTTTTTGACAATATTGAGGCTGTCGTCATTTCAATTCTCTCACCGTTAGACAAGTCGCGTCTCTGTCCGTTGTCGATCCTGCTACAACGGCAGTACCGAAAAAAGTTGCACACGTTGTTGCTGCGTACTTGTCATCGCATGCGGTTGCAGATGCAATAAACTGAAAATAGCAGTTCTCTGGAAGAGTGCCATCAAAATTTGGGAATTCCCGAGAGCTGCCACCTTTTACCTTATGATTAGTGGAAGAGATGGGCACAATGTCGCCATGGAAATAACATAGTGCATAGTTGGAAGGAAGAATGAATCTACCAAAATCTCCCATAATTTTAGAAAACTGATCCTTCTCTCATGCAGAGGTCATTTGATTGGTATCTCACACGAGAGCAAGAGTAACAGTCAAATGCCTTTACGACTCCAAGTGCATGATGCTCCCCGAAAAAAAGTCAGTCGACAGCAAATGTTGTATCTTTTCTTACCCCTCTTTGAAAAACTGAGTAATTACCGACAACCTACAGCCCACCCCTCCCCTTTTTCTTGAACGCTGGTAGATCACTGTGCCAGTGGCTAATGATACTTCACCTCTCCCCAGCTTAGATCAGGAGAAGGACGATTCTCTTGCCACACACCCGCCTAGATCAATAGATGAAGGATTCGTTGAAGGATCTCGGGGAGATTTGGTCGCAGGAGGGGAAGGGAGTGCGGGCTCGCATTTGAGGAGAGAAAATCTCCCTATGTTGATATCTCCCGTTTTATGCGCGCTATACACCTAAAAATATCAATATTCGAAATGCAATAAAAGCGTAGGTACCATGCCAGAAGAAGTCGGGCCAAAGGAAAACACTGGGTGGAGTTAAATTGCGCGAACTTCTTCCCAACGAAACGATGTGCCCTTGAATGACTCGCACCCCCTAGCTAAGCTCTTTAAGAAGGGCTTCATGTAAAAATGTACACACCGTTGTTGTTGTACTGTCACCGTTGGTACAGTTCATGTCAGTGAACGCTGCTGAAACCGACGACGCTATACTTAAACACACCACCGCTGCGAACAACATCGCTTACCTAAACACTCTAATAAGTAAAACTTGTCTTAGTGTTGCGAATGACGGGCAGAGCTTCCTGGATGCAGTTATATTACATTCTATTCACTAAATCGTAAGAAATATACGAATTGTGTAAGATAACAGCACATTCCGGGCAATTCTTGAAATTCAGAGTTCTAGGAATCTTGGTAAATTTCATCCGAAATCAAGGGTTTGAGAAGTACTGGACACAACGAGAAAGTTTCGGAGATTTTTCTGAAACCAGCAAAATAATGGTTTTTAGGGCACTGAGCCGCATCTGTGGAAGGAGGATTTTAGGGTAGGCTGAACTGATTGGAGTTTATTGAGTGCGAATACTTCCCCTTATAAATCGCCACTGTATGCCTTCGTGTGTGGTCGCGCATCTGTTCAAACATGTTAGCAATGTTCTATTCATTTGCGAATCTGCCTTGCTGACAATAGCTGAATCTGAACTTTTCTGATCTCACACTTCAAAAAAATTGATGGGAGAGGTCTGCGTTAGAATGGACATTTCGGATATAAAAAGTGAATTTAACTTTGATCATAACAACTAATGGGAAGTACTGTAACACTTGTAAGCTCTCATGCCACAAATCAGTACATAGGGCAGACTCTCCCAACTGTTGACGTCATCACGATGTACACCGTAATGTAGCAGAACTGTGAGGAGGCGGGACCGAGGAGTCACAGCTGCGCCTGGGAGCGGCTCACGAGGAGGCGGGCCGTCGAGGAGTCGGGGTCGTAACTCCCTCCGAGTAAGTTCGAACAATATCTCTCTCCCGGCCTCAAACGAACGAACGAGATCGAGGATGCACGGCGAACGATAATTGTAGTTCTTCTTTGTAGTATTGTAGTTATTTGATATACAATAAAGTAGTTCCTGCAGCCCCTGTAATATTTGCTAAACCCGAACGAACGAGCCAAACAAGCGGGTTTAGACACCAACTCCAACATGTAACAGAACTGTTGCAGAGCCGGAGTGGTTTTGAAAGGGAGAGGATCATATCTCTCAATGGCATTTGGCACCATAATTTGGTACTCGGTCTAAAATGCTAGTAGGGTGCAATTTAGTGGGAAATGGCGGAAAAACGAAGTGGAACTGTCGAAAATCTTGTTTTACACGACTCAGAAGGCAATTTGAGAGAAGTTTCCCGTTGGCATCTTGCCAGTAACAGCTACGGTAGATACGGCTGCATGTATGTACTCATATATCCATGCAGCACCGCAGCCGCTTCATATCAATCCCTTCGCCTCATATTTTACTTCGCAAATAAAGCGATAAGAGCATGAGGACCGATCGGGCAATTGTGGGCGGGTGGAGGTGGTGGGTCCGGGTCAGTTTGTTGCAGCATGATGAGGCCCTAAGAGTACCTTCATTGGATAAGGCGTTGCGCAGCGCCTGCTCAATGGCCCACTCGTCTTGAGAATTTGTCGTGCCATTTGCCTTTAAGGCCCTCGCTCACAAAAGCATAGGGGAATCGTGCAAAGGACCTGCTAAACAAGGTGGCACGATGAAGTCTTCAGCTCTTCAATCTCCAGCTCTGCATGTTAGTTGTAAGCTCTTAACTTGTGCCTTACTAGGTCTCTATGTGGAACGTTCATTAGATACAGCCTAACGTTTCGAGTGAACCATCTTTTCAAGAAACCGATCGTCCCAGCTTCAAGATACAAACTGTACATTCACCTTCGTGGGCCCTGGTCCTCACCATGTGTGGATGAATGGGTCTGCTGCTGCAATAGCGTGAAACATTCTCCGCAAAAAAAAGCATGGGAAAGGGGCTGTAGGGTAATGGTGCTCGAGTACCGTGTCCATACTCCATGCGCCCCATAGCGGCCCACTTGCGCGCGGAACACGCATTTAGTGGTAGAGAGCAACAAGATGTGAGAGAGCGTGTAGCGCGATGGGCTTGTATAGGCATGTGGCTGGTGATAGATAGTCACCTAAAGGCACGGTCGGCGATCAGGTATAGAAGTTGAAAATATGGCGGAGGGAGGGCAGTGTGGCCCGCGGCGAACAACCTTGTACCGGTTTCGCGGCGAAAATTGTAAAAGAGAGGCGCCATAGTGGAATATAGGTCCAGTGACGCCTCCTTTTTCCAGTAGCGCCTCCGGAATCCGCCTTCAAGGCCCGCGTTTCAGTGAAACACGGAAGGAAAAGCATGAAAAACGTCACTTGTACGGTCGTAGAGTTCTTATCGGGGAATCAGCTGTGCAGATGAGGGTTTAATGTTGGAGATGGCTTAATTCGGCACGTACAAACTGGGATCGAAATAGATTCTATCTGTGGCAGGCAGGCAGGGTTCTATCCTTTTCCTGCTTTTTCTTTACTATAAAACTACTCAGAATCCTTGTCCTCTATTTGCGAACTCCTATTCCACTATCTGTGATGGAGAGTGATCGTGGTCCGTGCCTTTGAACTATCGCTCTTGTGTAACAGCGGACTTTGACGAACAGCGGACTTTGACGTTCAAACCATGAGACAGTTGACAACGATTCAGTGGAAAAGTTAGCCATCACCTCATAACCCCAGAAGGCACGAAACAACTCAACAACTGACATGAAGAGTGCTTCTGTGAACCACTTTCAGTCTCTAACAAGGTTAAACGTACATATTAGGTTGTCCGGAAAGTTCTCAGCGTTTTTGGCACTATTTTTTGTACATTCATTGCTGATTAAAAACTCATTCTCCCTTGCGTCTCAGTAGTACATCCTGAAGAGAATTTTTTGCGCTATCTGATGGTATAATTGCCGTTTCACCATTGCTTGATAAACCCCCTTTTCCCAAGACTTTTTGAAGCATGTCAAAAGAGCAACTTCGGACGATATTTTTCTTCAACTACAAATTGGGTCAATCCGCAGTCGAGACAGCTCGACAAATTAACCAGGTGTGGGGGCCCAATAGTGTTGGAGAAAGCACCGTGCGACAATGGTTCGACAAATTTCGTTCTGGAGATTTCAGCCTTGAAGATGAACCTCGTAGCGGTCGACCTAAAGCAATACCTGACGAGGATTTGTGGAGGCTGACCCATCCCAAACAGTTCGAGAGATTGCAGAAAAGCTAGGCGTTGGCAAATCCACTGTTGCGGATGGTCTGAAACGCATTGGGAAGGTGAAAAAACTCGACAAGTGGGTGCCCCACAATTTGAGTGACCGGCAGAAATTGGCACGTCTCGAGGTTTCTTCTTCACTGCTTTTGCGCAACAGAAACGACCCGTTTTAGAACGAATTTCCACCTGTGATGAAAAGTATTAGGTTGTCTGGAAAGTTCTCAGCGTTTTGGGTGTTTCACTTTGAACGATCGTAACCTTTTTAATACTCATCGGGTTCAATCCAAATAAGCACCATTCGAATCAGGCGAACTTTTTGCCAAAGTGTGATCAGCAGTCGAGATAACCCCTCCAAGAAAAGAAACTGGTGGTCGAGAGATGCGCAAGCGAAATCCCCAGAAGGCCTTTTTTGCTGGTCGTCATTGATAGAAGTATTTTCGCAAGCAAGGAACTTTCTGAAATGTTTTGGTGAAAGGGTCTGGAAGTAATATGGCGGGTGAGGTATTCACTTCAAACCCAGCAATTCGTTAATTTATGGATAGTGATTTGTGAAACATGTGGGCGGGCGTTGTCATGCAAAAGAATCGGACCCTTTCTTTTGATAAGTGTTGGCTGCAGCTGACAAAAATTTTCGGTACATTTCGTCGATGCATCTGACAAAATTTTCGGTACAATTCGTCGATTTCTTCACAGTAGGGTTCTGCTGTGATGGTTTGGCCTGGTGATAAAAAGTTATAGTGGATCACACCAGCCGATGACCACCAAACCGTGACCAGAATTTTTCGTGAGGGTTCGGCTTTGAAAATTACCTCGGTGGTTCGTCGAAATCCAACCACTGTCCGGAACGTCTCCTGTTATCATACATGACCCATTTTTCATCACAGGTGACAATTCGGTCCAAAAACAGGTCGTTTCTGCTGCGCAAAAGCAATGCAGAAGGAACCTCGAGACGTGCCGATTCCTGCCGGTCACTCCGATTGTGGGGCACCCAATTGTCGAGTTTTTTCACCTTCCCAATGCGTTCCAGACCATCTGCAACAGTGGATTTGCCAACGCCTAGCTTTTCTGCTATCTCTCGAACTGTTTGGGATGGGTCAGCCTCCAAAATCCTCGTCAGATATTGCTTTAGGTCGACCGCTATGAGGTTCATCTTCAAGGCTGAAATCTCCAGAACGAAATTTGTTGAGCCATTGCCGCACAGTGCTTTCTCTAGCACTATTGGGCCCCCACACCTGGTTAATTTGTTGAGCTGTTTCGATTGCGGATTGCCCCAATTTATAGTCGAAGAAAAAAATCGTCCGAAGTGCTCTTTTCACATGCTTGAAAAAATCTTGAAAAAAGGGGTTTATCAAGCAATGGTGAAACGGCAATTATACCATCAGATAGCGCAAGAAATTCTCTACAGGATGTGCTACTGAGAAGCAAGGCAGAATGAGTTTTTAATCAGCAGTGAATGTACAAAAAATAGGTGCACAAAACGCTGAGAACTTTCCGGACAACCTAATAGATCAACTATGATAACAGGAGACATTCCGGACAGTGGTTGGATGCCGACGAACCACCGAGGCAATTTCCAAAGCCGAATCCTCACGAAAAAAAGATTATGGTCACAGTGTGGTGGTCATCGGCTGGTGTGATCCACTATAACTTTTTGTCACCAGGCCAAACCATCACAGCAGAGTCCTACTGTGAAGAAATCGACGAAATGTACCGAAAATTGCGTCAGCTGCAGCCAGCACTTGTCAACAGAAAGGGTCCGATTCTTTTTCGCCCACACGTTTCACAAATCACTATCCATAAATTGAACGAATTGGGGGTTGAAGTTCTACCTCACCCGCCATATTCTCCAGACCTTTCACCAACCGACTATCACCTTTTCAAACATTTTCAGAACTTCCTTGCTGGAAAATACAGTCGTCATCCTTGCACTTGATAGGGGCAGCC